TGAACATTCTAAACTAACACAAGTCTCATTAAGTGTTTAGTTTAAGGGTATTACACAGAAACATACCAAGGGAACATGAATCAAATATGTACTTTTATTCATTTACAATAAACTCATAAAGTACATCATTCTGATTGAAGCTAAGGGATACAAAATTGTCTAACACATTCTTCTAATTGTACATATCTTTTAATATATAAGAGACTCATTGAGGTGGGGGTCATTTATTCTTGACACCTCTAAGATTATTCTTGTTCTTTTCTCTATCCGGCCAAGAGTGTTGACAGGGTCCATCTACAACCAAGCAAAGAGAGAAATCAATCCCAAATAATTGATGCAAAAGGGTGGGAGATTAATAAGCGATAATAACTCTCACCATTAGCCTTACAAAGGATACACCAATTAAGGGATAAATAGGACATGTGTCCTTTGGTTTTATGAAACTTTTGTTTCCTAGTACGAAGGTCATGCATGGAGCTGCTACACTTTATTAAAGTTTGATGATATTAATGATATTGTTCATGATAATAGTATATGTTGATGATATTGTTGTCATTGGAGATGATACCTCCGGAATTATTCAGTTGAAGTGCGTCCTTACTTCTAAATTTGAGATCAAGGATGATACCTCTGGCATATTTTTTTTCTATTTTTTGCACTTTATTATAGTTTAGAAAGATACTCAATGATCCCTTAATATTGTAGGAAAATCCTTTGAGCCAGGAACTGCTACACTTGTTTGTTCTCAACTTGTCATGCACCTGCACTCAGTTTGTGACAGCCTGACAGGTGCCCAAGTATACATGTGAACATGCATATGAGACCACACATGTAATGAGACCTCTGTCAAGTACAATGCAAACAAGTGCAACAGATCCAGACTCCTTTGAAAGTGGGGCAAGGGATAAAATTGCAATATGTTTGTTCTATATGTTCTAAGATGTGTGTTTTGGGGACTGCCTTGGGCACATCAGCTTTTGATAAGCTGGCCATGTTCCCAAGGAGAACACAAATGATATTGCCATATACAGTGATAAAATTAATACATCAGTGTACTGTTTTTTAAAACATGTGTTTTGTCTAATAAGGAGTGCATCCAAATTACCAATCCACTTTTCCATTAAGCTATCATGCTTTCATTATTAAATCTCAAAAAAGAATCTTGTATGGTCAGGTTAAGAATGCTTTTGGAGAATTTGTTCATCGTGAACTTCGTGCAATTTCTGGTGCCATTACTATTACATGCCTCATGGTATGTGTTTCCACTATATCTTAATTCCAAACATCTAAATATGGCTTTATACCTCTAATTTTCATTGTAGTAGCTCATAATTTTTTATTCAAAAGTGAGAGTAGTGATATATGAAATTCTTCTAGAAGTTCTATTTTAAAAATTGTTATAGTCAATTAATTAGTTAATTACTGAATTAATCCCCCAAAAAAAGTATTATTATCCTCATATTCTGAGTTTTTGACAAAGCTGAATGCTAGCTCTGCTCTTGCAAAGAGTTAGATATCTTTTTTTTTTTGAAAAAGATGAGGTAAAATTTTATTAAAATAAAGGAGGAGAGTATAGAAGAAGTATACAGGAAGAAAATAAAAGAAAAAGTACAAACCGCTCCTGGCCCAAACACCCAAAGCAAGGGCCTAGGAGGCCAACGACAGACACAAAACCACAAACCACCCAAGCACAAGGTCTTAGCCACCCTAACTACGTCAGCCAAAAAGCAAGCCCGAAAAACAGGAAAACGGCCAAGAAATCTGTTAACAGGCACAAGGGGGCAGGAACTACAAGTATATTCTAGAAGGAGAAGAAGGCCACCTCAGCATAAGGAAGCCAGTGCAAAGACAGCTGGAGTTAACTGAATCAACTTGGAGTTAACTAAATCAAACAAGTTGGCAAGTTGTTATAATTCTATTATAAATCATTTAAGGCCACCTCAGCATAAGGAAGCTAGTGCAAAGACAGCTAGAGTTAACTGAATCAAACAAGTTGGCAAGTTGTTATAATTCTGTTGTAAATCAGTTACATTGAAGGCAAGATTGAATACAGAGGTGTACGTACAATAAGGGAATAATAAGAAGATTTGGTCTCTTTCTCTCTTCACTCTCACTTTCCCCTATTCTGGAGGTTATCCTTCCTCGAAGAGTATCTGAGTTGGGCAGCTACCCAACAATTGGTATCAAAGCCTGCAAAAAGCAACACCATGCCTAGTACAAGGTCAGAAGCTATGGATGATCAGATGGATCGCATGGAGATCGATCTACACAAGACCACAGGAGATCTACAAGAAATCAAGCAAACACTAGCCCTGTTGATGACGCGGATGGAGAAAAATTCAAAGGAAGGAAACCACGATGGAAACCAAGAAGGAAACAGCAAAAGTCAAGGGGGCGGTCAGCATGGTTGGGCCTCAACTCGTTCAGCAAAACTGGATTTCCCAAAATATTCAGGTGAGTATCCCATACCCTGGATATTTAGTTTAAAAAGATATTTTGAATACCACGATACACCTAGCCATCAAAGAGTTTCTTGTCACTTCATTCAACCTGGAAGGAGAAGCGATCTTGTGGTTCCAATGGTTCTGGAGAGCCCACCCACAAGTTTCTTGTCTGAATTCACAGAAGCTTTGTGCATCTGTTTTGGACCCACTGTCTTTGAAAACTATGATGAGAATCTCTCAAAACTCAAACAAACTGGATTTGGGAGGGATTACTAAGTCAAGTTCGAAAGACTGTCGACAAGGGTTCATGGGTGACCTGACACTGCATTGCTTGGCTGCTTCATCGGCGGCCTATAGGAAGAAATAAGAATAAAAATGAATTCCCTCCAACCCACCTCCCTATCAGCAGCAATGGGTTTGACAAGATTGCAAGAAGAAAGGTTTAATCGACTGAAAAGATTGGGTCGACCGAACACATTCAACTCCGGACCACAGTCTTGGAACCGACAACTAAACCAACCAGGTAATCCTTCTATCCTGGGATCCAGCCCGGCAGTCACAAGAAACCAGACCCATGGGCAGGCTGAAAATCCTCAACCTAAGGCCCAAGCCTTTGTACCCGCCCCAGTGCCATTAAGAAGATTATCTTGGGCCAAGACGCAAGCCCGAAGAGATTGCGGTCTTTGTTATAACTATGACGATAAGTTCGGCACAGGCCATAAATGTAAGAATCCCCAACTATTCTTACTACAAACAGATGAAGATGAACCTCAGGAGGAAATCCCTTACACACCCATTGCGATACCTACTGAGTTAGAATCTGACAATGTACCAGACCCACCCAAGATATCCTTTCATGCATTAACAGGACTGACCTCCACCCAGACAATGAGAGTGGTTGGGTCAGTACAGGGCCGAGCAATTTCAGTTCTAATTGACAGCGGGTCATCTCTCAACTTTGTGACCCAAATGGTAGCCAAACAATTGGGCCTAATACAAGAACAGGTGTTGCCATTCAGTGTGTAGAAGTTCAAGACTGCTATCAGCCTTGAACCCTAATAGATTTCAGGTTCGAAAATAGAAGGAAAATGTAGAGAAGAGAAGAGAAGAGGAGAGGAAGAGAAGAGAGAACTATAGAACACAAAGGGTTGAAAGGAGGGACAGAATCTGAATGTTCTGCTGCCACCACTTCTATT